AATCCTCTGGATGCTGGCAGTGGAATGATAAGCAAGATCAATGTGTGCCCGATCCACACAGAGCTGACTGTATATTCTGAACTAATCTCTAAATCCCGTCATGTGAGAGGCCTTTACACAAAATAGGTGTTTAGTAAATGTTAAATGGAAGAATGGATTGCCCGCTCTACACCACAATGTTAGGAACCGTCGAGGAAAGAAGACGAACAAGGCAGTGCGAGCCTTTGGGGAGCTCCGATGCTGTGGAGGGCACAGGCAGGCACATAGATCATTCTAATGCACAGCAGGAAGTACTGCGTGTTATGACGGAGGTATAAACACGTTTCTGTGGGGGAACGTAATGGCGAAAGATTAATTCTGGCTTTGGGGGATGCTCTGCCCTTCTGTCACAGCAGGAAACAAATTATTGTGTCACCCAGGGTGCATAACTGGAATCCATTTGCCATATGCATAAGGAATGAGTAGATTCAGAAAATAAATGAGAGTAGAGATAATTTTTTTTCATTGCAAATATTTCATTGCGGCGTTACAATATATTATCTAATAGCAACTTCCAAATATAATCGCCTTCCTAGAAAATGCTTGGATCTCTTCTCTTGTATCTCCCTTTTACAATCCTCTTTTTATTGGTGAATAGAGAAAAAAATAACATGGATAATCTGAAAGTATGTTAGTATCTAGAATAAGGGATAACACAAAAAATTAACTATGGAATTTTTTTTAAATAAACTGTTGCCCATTCATTACTCTATGGTCATGAGTAAATTTGCTGAAAAAATAAATATGTAATTTCTTATTTTGTTTTTATTTTATTTTATTTTTTGCCATAGGGCACAAACACTCACTGGAGAGAGAGAGAGAGAAACCAAGAAAACCAGAGGAAAAGTAAGACATCACCCCACCACACTTGCACCCTGGGAGGGATGGCCGTGCCACAATCCCTACTCCATTTTCCTCTCGGTATTTTGACACATATGCACATGCCCAGGGTGATTTTCTTTTTCTCTCCAGAAAGACAGAGAGACAGAAAGGGAGAAATCACCCCCCAGGGGGAATGGCCACACCGTAATCCCTTCTCCTCCATTCTCCTCTCGGGATCTTGGGCACGCGCATACACGCACCCGGCGTGAGTTTTTAATTCTCCGGGTCCGGGACGGAACCGCGGTCGACTACATGGGAGTCCAGAGACATAGTCATTATGCCAACTGTTGGCCCACTGAAAATATTTTTAACTCATGCTTAACTCTGTTTCTCCTAATAAAAATAGATCTACTTAAGAAATTAAAAAACAAGGGAATTGATTACAGCTGCACTGAATAAAATATAATTTTAGGAAAGTTTTTTCCCACTTGGTCTTATTTCCCTCATCTGCAAAAGGAGTTTATTGGATCAAAGTCAGAGTTTGCACTCTCAGATGGGTACAGAAGCCAGAGAGTTCAAGTAAAAGCAAAAGGTCAGCCATGCAAAATGTGCAGTCCGTGTTGTTAATATCTTCTGATTTTTCAAATGCATCTGCAAAACTGGGTTTTCATGTAAAATTTCCATAAAATAGTGTTTAGGCCAAATAGAACCTATCCAAAAGCCAAATTCAGCCTAAGGGCTTCCTTTATGCAGCTTCCAGACTAGAAGCTCTCTATAAAGTCTCCTGTATCTCAGATGTTCTCTGATTCTGCATTAAGACAGTCTGATTTCCCTTTGTTTAACAGCTACTGAGCTTCAAAGTTCCAGTTCCCCAGATAAATTAAAGAGCATGTTTTGAGGGCTGTAAAATTAAATTGTAATCACAGATTGGAGGATTTCAGTTTCCTCTAATCCTTTTGGAGGCTTCTGATTTGATTAAACAATATACTAAAATTAGGATTGAATGTTAAATGGCCTAAATCAAGACTCCAGCTCTGAATAAAGAATGACAACAGGAAGAGCAGCCCTTCCCTGCTTCTGCTTCCACTTCCGCTCTGCAGTCCTCGGCGGAGCAGGTCCAGACTGAGAGCAGCTGGGAGTGTGGGTCGGACCTGGCATTCAGTGGATCTTAAGAAACAGCGGCTGAGGGGCCAGTAGGTGGTGTGGTGGTTCAGGCACTGGACTCCCACGTGGTTGACTATAGTTCTAGTCTCAGGCCTAGTGTCCTGAAACTCACCCTGAGTGCATATGCATCCATGCCTAAAATCTAGAGATGAGAATACAGTGTAGCTAAGGAGTAATTTCTCATCTTGCTTTTCCCTTTCTCGCTCCAGTGAGTGCATGTACCCTATAAACCTAAGTGTGTATAGATAGATAGATAGATAGATAGATAGATAGATAGATAGATAGATAGTAGGGGTCAACAGGTGGTGTAGTGGTTGCAGTGCTAGAATCCCACATGGACATCTGCAGTTCAAGTCCCAGACCTGGCGGCTTGCTTTCTCACTTTGCCTATTTCTCTCAATCAACCAATCTCTCTGTGTGTGTGTGTGTGTGTGTGTGTGTGTCTGGTGCGCGTGCATGCTCTATAGCAAATTTAAAAATAATAATAATAAATAAAATAATTCTTTTAAAAAATAGTAGTTGATGAGAGCCAACAGTATGTTGGTTAAAGCAGCTGGATCCCACATGGCTTGCAGGGCAGTTATAATTCCAGACCCAGTGGACTGAAAAGCATGCAGGGTGCATGTGCATGCCCTAAATCCCAGGAGTGAGAAATGAAGAAGGGACTGCAGCCTGATCACCTCCCATGAGGGATGCTTTCTCACTTTCTCTCTTGCACTCTCTCTGGAAAGTGCCCATGTCCTCTGGCAAAATTTTAAAAAATATATATTAAAAAATATATAGTTGAACAAAGTACACAGAACTTCTGAATGAAGTCCAAGTCTTGGGTGCACAAACACACCAGCTAATTAACATGCTTAGCACTTGTGGATACAAGATGCAAATCAAATGAATCATTTTATTATGTGGACCCAGGAATTTATAGGTAGGTAAAGTAACATGCATGTGTCCCCACAAGCTTCTGTCCCTGATCCTATACCTTACACGCTGCGTGTTGTTTTGTTTTGTGGGTATCTTACTTATGTTGTTGAGATCACCAGCATCCAGCACAGTGTCAGACGAATAGTGAAAACTCAATAAATGTCTTTTTAATCAATAACTTGGTTAATCTCTGAATAAGTCAGTGCATAATTAACTAATGAGCCAGAATTTCTCTCTAGGGCCAAAGCAGCAAGAACAAAGGAACTCAATATAACTCAGAGTTCTGTTAAGACATCTGAAGAAAGACTGTGTCAACCCAAGCACAGGACAGTTTAAAAATATAGACAGGTGACCAATCAAAGTTGGTAGTACTCTCATCCCACCCAAAAATGATCCAGCTGAGTTTCCTTACACTTGGTATCATCTCATGATGGTTGACATTTCAAATATAATCCTAGATAATTCATAGTGGTTTTTAAATCTTTCGGAGAATATTGATTTAAAAAAAGAAAAGGAAAGAAAAACAGGCATCTAACCTGGTTAGCTTCGATCTGCACAATCTCCAGACACACTTATTTTTATTTTTTGGGCCTTAGGGCACATGTACTCACCAGAGAGAGAGATAGTGAGAAGGAAACTGAGAAATCAGCCCATCAGTGAATGGCCATGCCACAATCCCTTCTCCATTCTCCTCTCAGAATCTTTGGCATACACACACCTGCACCCAGCATGTTTCAAGCCACTGGGATCACAGCAGCCCCTCTTAATGGGTTTTCCTGGATGAGTCTTATGCCCTATAAACCTTTCTCCAGACAGATCATGTTAGTGGATCTCGACACTCCTATGAAAACGTAATCTTAATGTGTCTTAGGCAGGCCTGCCATTTCCCACCATTTAATTCTCCCCCTCTTCCCACTCCATGTTCTGGCCATTCCAACTTTCTTAAGTTTTCCAAATGCATCCAACTCGATGTCATCTGTGAACCTTCAAACATGCTTAGCACCCTCTTCCCCCAACTCTTATCCAGGGGACACTGAGCCAACTATGCTCCTCCTCAGTGAGCTTGTGGGTTTGATTCACAATTAGGTCCTGCTCAGCACTAATCAAACCACACTGTAACTGCCTGCTTAGATGTCCATCTGCCCTCTAGACTCTTCAAAAAAATATTTAAAAAAAATGTCTACCTTGTTCAACATTAGGGCCCTCACTCTGAGTAAGTCTAAGCAATGAGAACAAGCTCTCAATCTATATTTGTTGAAACAATCACCAATACCAAATATTAGTTCTTTAATGAAATGGTCTTAAGAGTCTTCTATTGAAAGAAATCTCTCTCTCTCCTTCGGGCCTTTATAGATTTAAACTCCACATGTGTTACAGGCTTATCACCTTCTGCCTACTGGACTTAGATAATTTATCTTTGTTATTGGACAGGTCCATAAGTGCAGAATCTATGCTTAATTTATCTTCGTTTTGTTTTCCCCCAGATCATCAATCACATAGAATTATGTACACTCTAACTACAATAAATGTTTATTGAATTAATTAATGAATTAATAGAGTTTACATGTAATATTTCACAACTTCCATGTAGGTTAATTTATGGAGAGTTTAGGTTTTGAGGTTGAAAGTGATGGGTGATAATCTAAATAGGTAAACTGAGGACAGATGGTGGAGAGTCTAGTTTGCTAAGAGGACTTAATAGTTTAGAAACTAGAACTTTGTTGATGATTTCTAAACAAGGATGTTTATTATCACAACTGTCCTTAAGATAGATATTATGGTACAACAATATGGTGCTATCCTGTATCCACCTCCAGAGTTTGGTTATTGCAGGAAGTGAATCTTGCTGCTGTTGGGGATTCAGAACTTCTTCAGGAAAAAAAAGAAAAAGCTGGAATCGGGAGACAATGATGGGGCACACCATGTTGGCCCCCGTTACTTAGTTTTACCTGTGGTTCTAACTCTGATAAATTGCTCCAGTGATTAAGGATCTGTGGATGTTGCCACAGTAGAATTACATTTTGAAGTATAATCTCTACTTTGTTTCTCAACAGGTTCTCTGACTCTGAGAACACATCATGTTCAAGATTCCAAAATGGGATTTGTAATCAACGCCATCTATTCCATGGCCTATGGGCTCCACAACATGCAGACGTCCCTGTGCCCGGGCTACGCAGGACTCTGTGATGCAATGAAGCCAATCGACGGGCGGAAACTTTTGGACTCCCTGATGAAAACCAATTTTACTGGGGTGTCTGGAGATATGATCCTATTCGATGAGAATGGAGACTCTCCAGGAAGGTATTGTTACAATTCTCCTCTAGACAACAGAACCTGAGAACAGTGACCCTGGGGTCTATTTCTCTCCTTTGTGGTTATCTAGGCTTCCTGGCCATGTGTGCCTAGCTGTGACATCCCAAAGTGAGCAAAGACAGAGAGGCAAAGCCCGCTTCCTGTGCCCAGGGAAAAGGAGTGAAACTGATGTGAGAATGGGCTTTGTAATCATTACTACATTTCAGACACCTTGGCTTAGAGACAAAAGCCTCACATTATCATAGACAAACAAAACCCTGTGGTTTCTTTGTATTTGCTTGTCACGTTATTCCCTGTGCTCTGCTATCTCCTTGGGTCATAGATCTACTCTGAAACAGGAACAATTCAATTTCTGGTAATCCAGAAATAGGGCTGAGGTGCTATTTTATCATTTGTTATACTATAGTGAGTTCTAAGTCATATTTTATTACCCTCCACCTGGAACACTTTAACCCTTGTTGAAGACTAAATTGCCCTTTTCTCCAAAAATTCACCTTTCATTTATAGAGAGGAACCAATTTACAGTGTATTATGGATGAGAAAAAATTCATTTTGTATGCTGTAATGATACACAGCGAGTGAATATAAAATAAATTTTAAAACAAAAAGAGAGAGGAAACCAAGAAATACGAACTTACCCCTAATTATCTCCAGAGAAATCACAATGTACCCAAAACTTACCAGAGTTGACATCTGTCTCATACTCAAAATTCTTAAATGACTCTGCAGAGGATAGTTTTATTTCACGAGAGGTACTGTCATTGGAATGGTCTGCTGAGTTGCAGTAGGGCTGGGTCCTCACTCTGGCTTGCATCGGACCAATCAGGGTCCTTTGGTCTCCCTTCGCAAAACCCCAAATGTTCTTCCAGCGACAGCTTATGCTTCACAGCTGTGCCTGGAGAAGTGTCTGTACAGTCTGTTTGAACTGACCCTGCCAAGAGAAGTGCTCACGCGTCCTTCCCCAGCTCACACCCGTGTGCCCACACATTCTCCCAGCAACCTTGGTTTAGCACATTTCCACATTCCAGAGTGAGCTGGAGATCGGCCAGTGCGGAGCTATTACTATCTCACATGCTCGTTTCAAGCCATACAGCCAAGCTAAAGCATGGATGTTTTCTCTGTTGTAGAGGCGTGAAGGGTACTGCACCAGTCAGGCTGTTCGCCAAGATAAGCTCATTTTTACATGTTGTTTTCTACTTTTTGGCTGTTCAGTATATCCACCATGGGGAAAATACAAGCATTTTCTCAGGGCCGAAGAAAACTTCACATTCAGTGTAAATTTTCTGGGCCTTTAGATTCCGGTCAGCACCTTGGCTCGGCTGCCCTGCACACGGATCTGTGGTTTCTGTGTGCGTCTGTGGAGCGCTGACACCAGCCTGGGGCTGGCTGACTGACTGATGGCTGTGGCTCCACCGGCTCTAGAGATTCCTGTAGCCCAACTGGTTTCACAAACCAGATCGTGAAGAAATGTCTCAGATGACTGAGTTCTGTTCCAACAGGAAACCCTAATGGGTCAGGCGGAACATCGCTGCCTCATTCACAATCCTCCAAATATGCTGTAATGGGGCTCTTTCAGTATGCTGATTCTTAACTTTCTTTGGAATATGAATTCCTTCAAGAGTCAGATAAAATTCATAGACTTTTTTAAATCAAGAACAATATATGTAAAAGTTTGCAGATTATTTTTGGGAAAACATGACTATTTAGAACCTATCCAGGCACGACTAAGTTTGGGTAGTTCACTAATCTATTAATAAATTACCCAAGGTGACCTCTGAGAGCATGGGCCAGACTCAGGAAATAATGGTTTGCAACTCTTTATTCTACTAACTAATCCAGTTATGTTTTTTAAAAAGGAAAAAATAGGTAACAAATATTTATTGAATGTGTGTTCTGAGTCAAATACTAAGCTTAGTGTTTTACTTTTTAATACTATTCTAATTTTTAATACTACGAGGTAATATTAGTATTCTTTTTTTCCATCCAAAGAAACTGAGGTTAACAATATACATGATTTACCCAAAGACACAGTTTAGTGAACTATAGAGTTAAATTCTAACTCCATCTTTTGGGTTTCAGCTCTTTTTTTTTTTTCCCAGAGTTTTTTTCTTGTTTGTTTGTTTGTTTTTTGCTATAGGGTATGTGTAGTTGCTGGAGAGACAGAGAAAGAAAGACAGAAAGTGAGAAATCACCACCACCACCACCACCAGGGGGGTGTTCATGCTGCAACCCCTTCTCCTCCTTCATTGTCCTCTCAGGATTTTGGGTCTGCACTCACATGCGCCGGGCATGAGGTTTAAGCCACTGGGTCCAGGACTCAAACCATGATCTACTATGTGGGAGTCCAGCAATGTAACCATTATGCTATCTGCTAGTCCCTCAACTCTTATATAATAATTTATCAGTTGTCAGATCAAAATTAAAAAGCCACTATTTTCTGAGAGATCTATTTGTAGGCAGTATGTTGTTATTTTTGTGCAATGAAAGTTACTTCTTTGCTGGATCATAGATATTTCCAGCTGGGCAAGGGACCAGAAGAGCCTGGGGTGGTTAGGGTTTCCTTTAAAATGTCAGAGTCAGAGAGAATAATCTAGACAGAGGAAACTGGGAAAGAGGGTAACTTACTCTGCCACATACCCTCACAGATTATTGGAAAGAACTTCTTTATTTTTCTTACATTTTTTTTTCCTTTTTGAATGCACATGTACTTGCCAGAGACAGAGACAAAGAGGAGGAAAGTGAGAAAACACCCCATGGGGCATGGTCTCATCACAATCCCTTCTCTAGCTCATCTTCCTTTTGCATTTTGGACCGTCAGACACATGCAGTCTAGTGTTTTCAAGTCACCAGGTCTAGGACTCAAGTTGCACAGTTGGTCACATAGAATCCAGTCACCATAACACCATACCAGGCTACTGACTGGCCCAAAGAGGACATTTGAATCGTTGTTTTTAAACCTCACATCTGGTTAGATTAATAGCAGTTCACAATTCTTGCATGAAAATTGTGATGCCAGGTGTGTGACAGAACCCAGAATTTTTGAGTTTATGAAAATTTTAAAAATCATGTATGTCCTTCAGTGTACTATATAGCATCAGTCTTTACTGAATACATTAACACTTCTGCAGCAAAACATATGAATATTCACACCGAGTAAGATAAATAGACTATAAATAGCCCCATGATTGATCAGGTCAGGCTTTATCACTAGACAAGTTCATACAGGGTCATGTTTTGCTGCCAAGTGGTTAGGAGAACATTTATTGTTTCAGAGTGCTACGGTTTCCAGAATTACAGATAAGAAATAAAGACCTTTACCATTTACCATCAATGGTCTGGGGCACAAGTCAGCAAACTATGTCTCAGGGCCAAATTGAGCCTGCTGTCTGTTTTGTTAAATCAGGCTTTCTAGAGCATGCATCCACAGCCATACTCATTATTTAGGTCCTATGGTTGCTTGTGTATTACATTGGCACAGTGGGCTCATAAGAGACCACCTCACAGCCTAAAATAGTTGCTGACCCCTGGTGTAGACACTGTACTAAGAACTGAGGCTAGGGGACAGCAGGGGCATGGTAGTTAAGGGCACTAGACTCCACATGGCTGACCACAGTTTGAGTCCTGGAGCTGATAGCTTGCTTTCTCACTTTCTGTTTCTTGCTTTCTCTCACTCTGTCCCTCTCTGGTCAAATTAAAAAATAAATAAAAGTATTCTTTTAAAAAAAAGAACTGAGGTTAAAGAGGCCTAATTGGATACTACTTGGGATTGACCTCATGATTGGGCAGAGGAATCCTAAAAGCTAATGTCAGATTGAGTACTACAGTTTAAAGTAAAAAATTAATGCAATGTATTGTGGGGTTTATAATTATATGAATATAGAATATTTGAAAACAAGGGTATAAAGTAAAGGGGCAAGGTTTCTATGTTGTATTTTATTCCATTAAGTGACTCAACTTTAGAATTGAGCAACTACTACAATTTTAATACAAAGAAAAAGAGTTAAAAAGTCAATGGAGTGGGCAGATTATTCCAAAAACAAGGCAGGAAAAGTAGAACAGAGAAACAAACATAGATGGAGCAAACAGAAAATATGAGAATAGAACAACAGAACTTGCAGATGCTGACCTGACCGTATTTAAACATGGATTCTTTTTTTTTTCCCCCTGAGGGATTTTGTTGCTATAGAGCTCATGTACTCTCCAGAGAGACAGAGAGAAAGCAAGCAAGAAATCACTGCCCCCTCACTCTCCCAGGAAAGATGACCATGCCAGATTCCTTTCTCCTCCATTCTCCTCTCAGTGTTTTGGGCATCCATGCACACACGCTCAGTGAGAGTTTTAAGCTGTCAGGTCCAAGACTCAAAAGTGTGGTCAGCCATGTGGGAGTCCAGCTCCCTAACCACCATACCACCTGCTGGCCTCAGTGCATGGGTTCCAAATATATGGCTTTCCTCATAGAAACATAAAGAAACAGAGCATCTACTTCAAGCTTTTAAGGTTCTAATTTTCCTTGGGAGAAAACTGAATCTCACTTAAAGAAAGAGACATACCAAGGATTATACTGTCTATTAGTAACAGACCAAGGACAATACGCAACTCTAGCACATTTAGCAAAAGAAAATTTACCTTAGATTTTGTTTATTTTTCTGATATTACATTTGAAGTGGTTCAATGTACATAGTGAAAAAGTTCCCAGTCTTAGCTACCATTAATATTTTTGGTCAAAATAACTCTATAATCCCTCTTTAATCTGTGATTATCCAGCCTCAAAGGCATAGATCATTATACTTGCTTTGTCATATGGACCAGGGCTTGGAGTGTCTTGTATGCTGACACACAACCAACTTAGAACATATGTAAAAATTAAATAATTTTTTGGAGAGATTTTTGCTATAGGGTACATGTGCTTGCTAGAGAGACAGAGAAAGACAGAGAAAAAGTGCCCATGCTGCAATCCCATCTCCTCTATTCTCCTCTTGGGATTCTGGGTATGCATGCACACACACCTGGTGCTGAGTTTCAAATCACCAGGTGCGGTGTATGCATACCCAGACTCAAACAGCAAGCGACCATGGGGGAATCCAGTGCCTTCACCACCACGCCACCTGCTGGCACCAAACAATTTTTTTAAACAAAACAAAACACCTTACCATCAGAATTAGAGACTGAGAGAACCACAGGGGTCATACAAATCCAACACTCTACAGTCCCCTCCCCAAATGATTTTCAGTCCTCTTGACAATAACCTTGCTCTAGTGCCCGATAAAGAAAACCTCACTGTTTTTTGATGATGACTGCTCCAATTTCCAGAGTTCTAGCCATTTAGAAAGTTCCTTAATTCTGCCCAGCTGAAACTTGACTTCCTCAATAGAATTTTTGTTGTTGTTGGAATATAGTTTGTTTATTGTTTTTGACAGATATATAAAATTCCTTTTTTCAAATATTCATTATATTCCGCTCTACTTTGTGGCTAGTTAAGGAAGAGACAGCTGTGGGGAAGCAGAGAGAAAGAGGAAGGAGGAGCTATTTAAAAGTCAGATTATATGTAGGGACAGAGTGTGATTATAAAAAAGAAGTTTCAGTACTTGAGAGATGTAGAAACCAAAAAGCAAAGTGAGGGAGAAAGACAGGAAAAGAGAAGGAAGGAAGGAAGGAAGGAGAGAAGAAAAGGGAAGAAGGAGGAGGAGGGGGAAACAAGATGAAGAGGGAAGAAGAGAGGTTTTATGTATTATTTTATTTTTCATTTTGTTATAGGGCACATGCACTCACCAGAGACAGAGAGAGAGAGAGATAGGAAAAGTGAGAAAACAAGTCTCCAGGTCTGGGACTTGAACCACAGTTAGTCTTGTCCAGTGCCTTAACCACCAAACCACCTGCTGCCCCCTTTCTCTCACTTTTGATGGAGAATAAAACCTGTAATCTGTCTCTAAAAATAAAAAGAACTAATACCAATTCAAAAGATAAAGGAATCTTCTTTTGTGGATAATTCTTTTTATCCATTTCATATTTTAATATACTACCTCCAAAGATTTTTAAAGTAAGGTTATATTTTTATTCACATATATAGCCATTATCACTTTGTGTTTGTCTTGTAGGTAAGAAACATCTACTAGAAATCTAAAGGTTAATTCCAAAGCCAGAATTCATTGTCTCTAATGTAGTTATAACAGGTTGATTGGATTGAACCAAAACTAAGGTTTAACTTTTTCTTGTCAAAAACCCTGTCAAATATAACATGTTCTCTTCTATAGAGGTGTTAGGTTTATTTTCCACAAGTGGATCACTTTTTACTGTTTTGAGTCCATAAGGTATAAGAAGCATGCATATAAAGAAACCTTAACATGTAAAGTGTTTCAAATTTTTACAGTATTTAAGCCATGGAAAATCTCTTAGCTTTACCAAGTAGATTTGGAGCAGTGCAAAGGAGAGCAATCAGCAGACTTGAAGTCTAAAGGCTTAGTAATTAGAGCCTGACTTGATGCTTCTATGTTCTGCAAGAACCTCACTGAGCTTCAGTTCCATAATCTGCAAAATGAACAGTGTGGACTACAGTTTGTCATGGTTAAACTGGTAGAAATGGGGCTCATTTCTGAGTGACCGATGAAACCCTCATATCTCTTCAACTCACCAGTAGCAAAGAAAGAAGCTTCCCAACAACCTTTCTTTCTTTCTCCCAGCCTAGAATGTTCAAAGGTTCTTTGCTCATAGGAAGTCACTGTTTGAAGACTTAGAAACCCATATATTTGATGTAGCCAATGAGTTCTTTTTTACTTAAATGCTCTGGGTTGTAATGCTTCAACTGATTACATACTTAGCCACAAGGTAACTGGAAGAGTGAAAAGGAAAGTATCCATAAATTGTCTTTTGATTTCCAAGTACAACTTTCCAACCTAAAACTGTTGCTGACTGAAAATCAGACACTGCAGGATAATCTGTAAAGCACTGAACAGCCAACAAATGTAAGAAGGAGGTACCATTCTGAAAAAGATATTAGAGTAAAAACTGAGATCAGGAGTGAAACAGAATCACATTATTTCACAATGTAGGTATAAATGAGTGGATGTCAGGTTTGTTTGTTTGCTTGTTTGTTTTTAAAAGGGGTTTTGCCGTAGGGCATATGCCCTTGCCAGAGAGAGACAGAGTGAGACAATGAAAGGAAAGTGAGAAATTACCCCCTAGGGCCATGCCACAATCCCTTCTGGACAGAGCATTCATTTGAATATTGTGATCTGGTCATCTGAACCCACCAGGCAGAAGTCTTTATCCACATCAATTTCCACATGCTAACATGTGAGCATGGAAGGTTGGAAGTGGCATTTCTAAGAGCCTGTCTTCCTGGAGCAGAAGTCCTGGAGGACTGAGGTGCAGGTTCTACATACAGGTACTGCGTTCCAAAGACATACTTTCGGACTGACATAATTGTGGTACTAGTCATCCAGTGTCTTCAGATGGAAACATTACTTTAGATAAGGCTTCTCTAGCAATGTTTTTCTATATAAGGAAATGCCTTTAAAGAAGCACATCATCTGGGGCTAGCCCCAGAGCATAGTGGATAAGGCTACCAGATCCCATATGGCTGAATGAGCAGTTCAAATCCTGGTCCTAGTGGCTTGAAAAGCATGTCAGGAGTGTGTGTGTGTGTGTGTGTATGCATGCACTCAAAATTATGACCCAGGGTGGTGAAATGGAGAAGGTTGTGGCATGACCATGCCCCACTAGGGTTGCTTTCTCTGTCTCTGGCGAGTGTACACACTCTCTGGCAAACAGACAAGCACATAGTCCATCCATCTTTACACTTCTATTCTCATAGTCAAATGAGAGTAATATCCAATAAAGGCTGAGAACCCACAGGCATTACTCTCTTCCAATATTTCTACAGTCCATGAGGTGCTTTACAAGCTATTTTCAGACTCTTAAGCATCACTCCTGAAATTGCCTTTGTACCACTGTACAGAGAAGCCATTGATGAAGGTTAAAATGAGAGAGGTAAAACGGGCCTTATCAAAAACACCACCATATCCCCTGAAACTGAAAATAAGGTGAAAAATTACCAAATTTCTCAATTAGCAGAGGAAAATTTTACCGTTTCACTTGAACAGACAAAAAACTTCCTTTTTTTAGAAGCCTAACAGTAGTACTTGTTTAAACTTCTCAAAGCTATTTCAAAACTGTCTTTCATTCTTCTGAGGTCCGTCACCTTTTCACATGGGATTATATTCTATTTCAGGTATAAGCTTGAAAGAAAAAAAAAAAAAGTCTCAAGAGAAAGTGAAACAGACAGGTTTTTTGTTATTCTAAGTGAACTGTCATGGAAAATTCCAGTGTTACTTATACGACAGCAGAAACATTTTGAAGAATGAAATTTATTGCTTTTTCATACCTGAATATTTGTATTATCAGCTGAATAATGATTTTATTATTGTTCCTAAGGTATGAAATAATGAATTTCAAGGAAATGGGAAAAGATTATTTTGATTACATCAATGTTGGAAGTTGGGACAACGGAGAATTAAAAATGGATGACGATGAAGTATGGTCCAAGAAAAACAATATTATCAGATCTGTGTGCAGTGAACCATGTGAGAAAGGCCAGATAAAGGTAAAATGGCATCTGTGTTTCTTCATTTCTGTTGTATATTCAACACTGCAAATTGTCATTGGCTCTTTTTCAAGAGAAAGTTGTTTGTTTCCAAGGTCCAAAATTGTGGATTTTACTTTTTTCCATTAATTCCTGGTGAGGAGGTAATAAGTCTTAGTAGTTGGTCTGATTGGACCACTCTGCAGTCTCTTCTCTATACTCCTCCTGGGATTTGGAACACAGACACAAATGTAGCTGGGGTATTTTTCAAGCCACCAGGTCCAGGACTCCAGGTGCACAGTTGGCCATGTGGGAGCCAGTCACCTTAACCACCACACCACTAGCTGGTCCTGCTCTGGTTTTATCAATCAGCCTCAACTTCATTCTGTTTAGAACACGTTAGAGGTGTTCATATGTGATGGACATTGAGACTGAAATATATGTTAGTGATAACTGGAAGGTCCTTAAAGTTCTGATAATTTGGAAAGTACAAAACATAAGAAAGGTGAGATAAACAAACTTAAAAATAAACTTATTATCTGCTAAATGATTTGGTAGTTTATGAAATTTCTGAAAATCCTGTGTTTTTTGTTACAGTGAACTATGACCAGTATGCTAAACTGGACCTGCTGTCTGTTTTTGTAAATAAGATTTTATTGAAATACAGTCACACTCATTGTTGACATATTGTCTATAGTTATTTTCATGCTACAATGGAAGAGATGAACAGTTGAGTCACAGTAGAGATTTTATGGCCCAAAGCCTAAATATTTAGTATTTGGTCCTGTGAAGAAAAAGCTTGGTAACCCTTGATATAAAGTGACAAAAGAATTCTGCATCTTAGTCATCTTGCAGCTAAATACTTCATGTTAAATCTTTTATAGGCCCACCCAGAATACTAATTGTTCATCCTTTCTGTTTCTGCCTGTAGAAACGTTGCACAGTATAGATTACCACTTGAATGTTCCTTTGGTTTTGACACTTCTGAGCAGTATGCTTTGAGTTCGTAATTTCAAAATGCTAAATAACTGGTAGAAAAAATTTCCTTATGTATACTTTTTTAACTCCGTTCTACTGGGAATAATTTATACAATGAAAGACTGTTGAATCTGACCTGGGAACAGCATGCCAATGACACATGTCAATCACATGTCAAATATGACATGAAAACTACATACCAACGACACACATGTCAGTCGCATGTCAAATTTGATATGAAAGTACATGCTAATGACACACATGCCAGCTGTGTATCAATTGCATGTCAAAACTGACAGAATGTTGAGCATGCACACACACCCAGTGCATTTCTCAAGCCACCGGGTCTGGGATTTGAACTGCAATTAGTTATGTGTGATCTGTCTGTCTTAACCATCAGGGTACAAAGCTGGCCCTACATATTATTCATAAAAAAGCATCACTACTCTCAAGATGTTCAAAAACAATGGAAATTAATGAGATTTGCTGTGAAAGAGAACTGTCATTACCTCTTCTATTGAAAATGAATGTAAGACAGACTATGACATGCAAAAAAAGTAAAACAGGGCCAGCTGATGGTATGGTGGTAAAGGCAGCTAGATCCCACATGGCACTTTGAGTCCTGGACCTGGCAGCTTGAGAAGCATGACAGGTTCACATGTGTGTATGCTCAGAATCCCAACAGGAAGCAGAAATGTAGGAAAAGGGACTGCAGTGTGACCATGCTTCATGGGGGAGGGGGGCTTTCTCTCTCTCTCTTCCCTCCTATCCCCACCCACATGAACACATGCAAAGATGAAATGAAAAAGCAAATCTGTTCTGAACTATCAGAAGACACTAGGTTCTTAGTATCAATTTAGAAGCAGATTGTAGCAGTGTGATTCTGAAAAAAGTGCATGAACTTATTTTGGTAAAAACTGAAGTTTACAAAGCAGTGAAAACTAAACCACAGAAAGTCAACATAGTTATACAACCAAAAATTCAGCTGCTTTTATTTCTCAGTCCTTGCTGAGGTCTGGAAAAAGTAATCCTTTGGTAAAATTAATAATTATGTGATAGTTTTACCAGGGGGTGGTTGACATCCTAAAATATTTTCCATTTTTCTATATAGTATTTATATGAAAATTATTAATAAAGACTTTTAGCATGTTCTATATTTTAAAAAACACTTAGGTATTTAATCCTTGGAAAATCATATAAAATAAATATTACTACTACAAAGGCAATGACTTTGAGGACACCTGCTATCATAGGTAGGACTGCCTAAGAATAGCCTTTTTTTTTTTTTTCCATTTAGAGGTTTTTGCTGTAGGGCACATGGACTCACCAGAGAAAGACAGAAAGTGAGAAATCATCCCCAGAGGGGATATCCATGCCATAATCTTTTCTCTTCCATTCTCTTCTCAGGATTTTGGATATGGATTCAACCTATTGTGCCATCTGATAGTCCCAAGGCTGAAAAAATAGCTCCTTATCCTCTGACATGCATGAAAATTGCATGTAAATGCCATGTCAAAAACATGAGAACTGCATGGTAATGACACACATGTCAGAACTGACTAAAAACCAGTGACACATGTCAAGCACATGTCCAATCTGACATGAAAACTACATAAAAATTACACACATGCCAAAAATGACATGAAAACTACATGCCAATGACACGTGTCACTCTAATGTTGATCACGTCAAAACTGGCATGAAAAGTAAATGAAAATGACACATGTCAAAGCTGACATGAAAATCACATGCCATTGACATGTTATTTTCATGTCAATTGCATGTCACATACATGAAAACTACATGCTAGTGTCATGTGTGCCAATCAAATGTCAAGGTAACATGAAAACTACATGTCAAAGACACATAAAAACTGACAAAGGTTACATGAAAATGACATGCATGTCAAAACTGACAGGAAAAACCACATGGCAACATGCATGTCAATCACATGTCATAAACACATAAAGTGCATGCTAAGGAGGTGTGTAAATCACATGTCAAAGGTGACATGAAAACTACATGCCAAAGACACGTCAAAATGCCATGAAAACACATGCATGTCAAAATGACATAAAAACTACATGCCAATGGCACACATGTAGACCGCATGTCAATCACATGTCAAAATGACATGAAAAGTACATGAAAATTAAACACATGTCAAAACTGACATGAAAACTACATGTCAATGACATGTGTGTCAATGGCATGTCCAAATTACATGAAAACTACATGCCAATGACACACATGTCAATCACATGACTATCATGTCAAGACAGACGTGAAAAGCACATGAAAATGACACGCATATCAAAAATGACATGAAAACTACATGTCGTTGACACGTGTTACTCATATGTCAATCACATGTCAAAATGACATGAAAACTACACTAGTGACACAAGTAAATCACATGTCAATTACATGTCAATCGTGTGTAAAAGCATACTGGAAAAGCACATGAAAATGACTCACATGTCAAAACACATGAAAAGTACATGCTAGGGTCACGTATGTCGATCACACGTCAAAACTGATATGAAGAATACATGAAAATGACACGTGTGTCAAAACTGACAGGAAAACTACATGTCAACGACACAAATGTCGATCGCATGTCCAAAACTACATGAAAACTACATATCAACGACACATATATCACTCACATGTGAAGAGTGACATGAAAACCACATGCCAGTTACACGCATGCCAAAACTGACATGAAGATTACATGAAAATGTCACATGTCAAAACTGACGTAAATACTACATGCCGACGTGTATGTCGATCGCATGCCAAAAGTAACATGGAAACGACATAGCAATGACACACATGTCAATCGCATGTCTATCACATGTTAAAACTGACATGAAAAAGTACATAAAAATGACACACATGTCAAAATGACATGAAAACTGCGTGCCAATGACACACGTGTTAATCGCACGCCAATCACATGTCCAAAACGACATGAAAAATGCATGTCAATGACACGCAGGCCAGTTACATGTCAATCGCATGTAAAAAAAGACATGAAACCTACATGGTTGTGTTACATGTGTCAGTCACATGTCAAAGGTGACATGAATACTGCATGTCAATCACATGACAGTCACATGTCAAAACAACATGCCAATGACACGTCAATCACATGTCCATCACATGTTAAAACATGAAAATGACACGCATGCCAAAATGACATGAAAACTACATGCTAGTGACACATGTCAAGCACATGTCAAAAGTGACAGGAAAACTACATGCCAATGGTACACATGTCAAAACTGACATGAAGATGACATGAAAAATGATGTCAAAGCTGACATGAAAAATACATGTCAATTACACACATGTCAATCACATCTCCAAAACGACATGAAAAACTACATGTCAACGACACATCAATCGCATGTCAAAACGACATGAAAACATGTCAATGACATGTATGTCGATCACATGTCAAATGCATGTCAAAAACTGTGAAACTACATGCTAATGACACGTATATTAATCACATGTCAGAAATGACATGAAAACTACATGCCAATGACACTCATGTCCAAAAAACATGGAAACTACCTGCCAACTACACACATGTCAATTGCATGTCAATCGCATGTCGAAACTGACATGAAAAGTACATGAAACTGACATGGATGTCAAATTGATGTAAAAACTACTTGTCAACAGCACATATGTAGATCACATGTCAAAAGTGGCATGAAAACTACATGCCAAAAAGACACATGTCAAGGCTGACATGAAAACTACATGTCAATGACATACATGTTGAAAATGGCATGCGAGTCACATGTATGTCGAAAGTGACCTGAAAACTACATGTCAAACAAAAGTCAATCACGTCACTCATTTCAAAACTGTCATGGGCACATGCCAATAACACGTCATAGACATATGAATATTACATGCCAATGAGACATGTCACATGTCAGTCACATGTCAATAGTGACAAAAACTACATGACACGTCAATCACATGTAAGTTGTGTGCCAATCGCATGTCTAAAATGACATGAATTGTACATGCCAATGATATGTATGTCATTCTCATGTCCAAAACAACATGAAGAATTCATGTGGTTTGAGTCCTGATCCAGTGGCTTCAACTCAGCCCAGGCACATGTATTCTCCTCCTAGAGGAGACTAGAGAAAGGTCGCTGTCCCCCCGGATGGGGGGGTGATTTCTCGTTTTCTGTCTGCTCTTTCTTTCCTCTTAGGTGCTAGCCAGTGTATGCGCTTACCAGAAACAGAATAGTGAGAAAGGACCCCCACACATACGGGACATGGTCACACTGCAACCTCTTCTCCATTTCTCCTTTGGAGATGTTGGGCATGCATGCACATACGCTTGGCATGCTTTTCAACCTTTGAGGTCCAGGACTTTATGCAATCAACCATGTGGGATCCAGCCACCTTAATTGCCATGTCATTCGATTCTTCATTTACCAAAATATGTAAGTTAACTATAAAAAATGAATAAAATGAAACCAAAGACCTTCTACAATGGTCTTCTGATGTTTTTAATGGGATTAACAAAATGCACTAAATAGCCGGTCAATATGCTTGTGGAGAATAGTTTAGCTGGATTCAGTAGGTCTAAGTAGCAACTTTGCCTCATTTTTTTTTTTTTTTTTAATTTTAGAGTCAGGAAAGAGCACACAGGAAAGAGCACACAATGTAAAAACAGGGTGACTGTTTACTACTGCATTTAGCTATAGCTATCTATATGGTATTATCAAAGGTCATTAAAGTGGCTGGATCCCACATGGCCCATCGCACAGTTCCAGTCCTAGACATGATAGTTTGAGAAAATATGCTGGGAGTATGTGTCTACAGGCTTCACATCCCAAAAGGAGGGAGAAATGGGCAAGAAAGGACTGTGGCTTGACCATTCTCCATGAGGGGAGTGCTTTTTCACATTTCTTCTCTCTCTCTCTCCCCTTTCGTAAGTGCATGTAACCTCTAGCAAGTTTTTTAAAAAGTTTGATGAATATTGTCTCTCTTCTAAATAGTCTATTCATGGCCAGAAGTTGGGGGAGGAGTGAGGCACATACACTTCTAAAGAATAACATCTGGAACTTTTTCAAGTACTAAATTATTTTCATTCTCTTCCCTTAAAAAAATCAAATAGATGAAAAGGCATGTGATAGTTTCAGTGACCTTAACTACCTTTATCCCAAGCAAAGCAGAGCTACTACATTAGGAAAGAATAGCTGAATTATTAAACCAGGTTTTTAGTAGAGAGAGATCAAGAGATTATCCCCAGAAATACCTACAAAACATGCCTTGGTCTCTCTAATACAAATTCTTAATTATATTTTTAATCAATGTGGATAGTTTGTACTTTGGGAAATACACAGTGTTTTTTGCTCACACTTCCTGAATTAGAGGAGGGATGCCAAGGTAAATCCAAAGAGCAGATTGAGGAAGGGACAGGCACAGATCCTGGGAAAAATTCAGCTTGGAACACATAGATGTATGCGTGTATATATGCACAGACACAGGTACTTGATTCCATTCAGATATCCAAAGCTAATTATCTGAAGATTTGCATTTCATTTCATTCTGGACCCCTCCACCAACCACCTCTGATGATGGATCCATAGTTACAATTTTAGCTTCGGTTACTTTAATTATAATAATAGGAATACTTGTACTGTCTGTCTGTAACATTTGAAATAATATATGCAGAAGCCTTTTCTGCTTTGCAAAGCATGCACTTGAATAAGAGATGGCTGGATTTTTATCTATGCAAAATGGTTCATCACCATTCTAATGCTCACCTCAGGTGATCCGGAAGGGAGAAGTCAGCTGTTGTTGGACCTGTACACCTTGTAAAGAGAATGAGTACGTCTTTGATGAGTACACCTGCAAGGCGTGCCAGCTAGGGTCCTGGCCCACTGAGGATCTTACAGGTACACATATCATCATGTTGGCATATGCATTTTCCAGAGAAAATTTACAGAAACATGGGAGGAAGGGGTTACATCTCCAAGCACTTACCTTGTTTTGGACAAAGAATTCCCTTGGGAACAGAAGCCTTCCTGAAGCCTGAGCTAATCATGAAAATCTTTGGCTCTCATGGAGATATCTGTCTATCATCTGTCCTCACTCCCAAATTAGATCAGAGTTCCTAAGCCATCTACTAGACATCCTTAGCCCACCCTCCAAACACTCCCAGAAGGTCCTAAGCAGGACATGGGTTAACTGTGTCATTTGGGGCAGAGGGTATAAGGTAGGAAGAGACCAAAATATGTCATGCTATATCTAACAGCAAAATAGCACAGAACTGTTCATCTAAAAGTCTTTGCTTCTCTTAGTATTTTTCCTTAATTGAAACTTGGAGCCTCCAACTAAGGAGTTTTGGGAGGATTGTTGGCACAGGGAACAATTTGTCTCTACTTTTTAAAAATTTTATCTTCTGTTTTTATTTCATTTTGATTTTTGGCATTTGGCTCCAAAAGGAGTATTTCACTGTTTTCCTATTTTTCATCACTATTTTGTAATTTTTACAATACAAAAGCAAAACAGGATGCCTTTTATTCTCCCAACTTTTCTTCAGTAAACATGTATTAAATGCACACCATGTGCCTATCTATCTACCCCTGAAATAGACATACAGGAATAAAAACTGTACTTTTATCCAAAGATGCTCACAGCTTAATGAATGAGGCAATCAAGTAAAAATAGGATAATGATTATTTGACAAATATGATAACAAAATCCTCAGCATGCTTAGGGATGACTATGTACTTGGAGAGTAGTCCCAACAAAGACCGCAACCAGGGTATCTAAAAGTAAAGGGAAAAGAGCCCGCAGGTGGAGTGGAGGTTTAGGCAGTTGGATCCCACATGGCCAATTGCTGTTCAAGTCCCGGACTTAGCAGCTTGAAAATCACTCCAGGTGTGTGTGTGTGTGTGTGTGTGTGTGTGTGTGTGTGTGTGTGTGTGTGTGTGTGTGTGTGTACACATGTGATCAAAGTCCCTAGGGATTGAGGTGTGGCCATCCCCCTGCAAGAGGGGGTGATTTTACGGAAATAAAAATATGATAACAATTTATTTGTGGACATAGGAGCACAAGGAGGGGCCCCATGAGGCAGAGTTTGCAAGGAAAGGAGAAGAACATGACCGGCAGAGGGACACTGTGTAGTGTGTCAGGTCATGACTGCTTTTAGAATTAAGACAGATTTAGCACAAAACTCCTAGAGGCTAAAAGATCCTAAGGTCATCAGTGTTAAACGCCATCCCTAATGTGATTCTTGATGACCTAGTTGATCTATTTGACTTATTTTGAAGATGTAATTATAAAAATCTTTCAATCCTGAGCATTTTGAGACCAGATAACATTAGAATCTTTTGTTATTCGGGATTAATATTTACACAGAAGACTTTCTTTTCCTTGGAAGAAAAATCTGATTTAATAAAACATCCAAATGTTGGTGATAGCATGTGAGTCCTATTTTCACCATTAGACATCACAGTGAGCTTTCTCTTACTCATTCTGGTATCCTCAGAGTTGACTCAGCATCGAACATAAAGCCTTCAATAAATTTTGTTAAATACAAATAAACAGTGTGAACAGCAGTGTGTGTGTTCATACATACACAGATGAAAAACTCTAAAAAGAAAAGTGTTATGATTGATTTTCTTGAGAGAAAATTGAGGAGCAGTAACAGTGATCTTTTCTTCATACTCTTATTTTTTTTAACCTGTTTTTCAACTTGTATTAGTATTAAATTACAAAATTATTTTGCATATTCAACTGTGTTACATGGCTAAGTATGTTTGTGAATAAATATACTGATTTTTAAACCCTGTGTTTTGTAAGACTGTACTGCTGAAAATGAAGTCTGTTCTTTCATTCATTCCACAGAATAATATGGTATTATTATCATTCATTATAATAATGGGTGCTGAAGACATTACAATAAAAAACATACATGGTTCCTTTGTCATTTGGTCCCCAAAGCACAGTCTTTATATATTTTATCATCTTGTAAGGAGAGAAACATTAAATACACACACACACACACACACACACAGAAACTATTTTAAGTAATATGAAGAAAAAGAACAGGAGTAATAAAATGAAAATATTAGAGAAGACATAATTTAAATTTGTGGTTATATAAGAACTCTGAAAAAGTAAAAATTACATGAGATCTAAATGATCAATAGAAATAACTAAAAATCATGATGAGACAGGCATTTCTGCTCTGTGATGCAGAACCCACATGAGAAGTTCTCAAGTTTGTGTCTGGAACACTTCCTGTCCACAGTAGGGCAAGAGATCTGGGCTAGCTGATGCTGGGAGTGGGTCACAGCGTGAAGATACTGTTGTTGATGCCACTCTTGCTTGCTTTCTTTCTCTCTCATGGAAGAAACAAAACATTTTTTAAAAATCATCTTTATGGGGGACCAGCAATTGGTGTAGTGGCTATGTTGCTAGACTCCCACGTAGTGGACTGTGGTTCAAGTCCTGGACCCGGTGGCTTTAACTCATGCTGGGCGCATGTGTGTGTGTGCCCAAGATCCCAAGAGAAAAATGAAGGAGAAGGGATTGTAACGTACCATTCCCCCGGTGGAGGGGGTGATACCTTGTTTTCTGTCTCTCTGTCTCTCTCTAGTGAGCACACATGCCCTATAGCAAAAACATCTCCAAAAAAATATCATCTTTATGGAAACTGTGTAATAATCTATAAAATAGTTATGATCTGATTTTCATTGGGGAAAAAAAAATCAGTATTTGAAATTTTATGTAAAATTACCATTACCCAAGAGAACAAGCATAGAAGAAATGGGAAAACACATAGATTTAAATAAACCAGTCAGAATTGGTTGAAAACAATCTGAACCATTCACAACTAGTTTGAACCAGTTTGAACTGGTGAACTGATGAAACCAGTCTAGACCAGTCTGACCCAGTCAGAACCGGTTTGAACCTGTCAGAACCTGTTTGAACCAGTCTGAACCAGATCAAAACCAGTTTTAACAGGCTTAAACCAGTCTGAACCAGTCAGAAATGATTTGAATCAATCTGAACCATTTTAAACCAGACTGAACTAGTCAGAACCGGTTTGAACCCATCAGAACTGGCTTGAACCTATCAGAACCAGTTTGAACCAGTCAGAATGGATTTGAACCAGTCAGAACCAGCATCAAAAAGTCAGAACCTGATTAAACCAGTCAGAACTGGTTTAAGCCCGCTCTGTTTGGTTCACTGCAGTTCTGACTGGTTTGAACCAGTATGATTGGTTCATACTGGTTCTGACTGATTCAAACAGGTTCTAACTGGTTGAAGCTGGTTCAGACTGGTTCTGACCAGGGTTCTATTTTTAGTTCCTCATGGTTCTCCGTCTATAGAGTCTCTGTGTGATGTCATCCCTACATGTCTTTGACTCATGGCAGAACCATTCAGCCCAAACTCTTTCCTCAGTTTCAGACTCAGGATTCTACTTGATGACTATCTGCCCTTGATTAGTCCATATTAAATCCAGCATGTCTAAAACTCATCATTTCACCATTTTGGGTATTATTAATTATAAACTTGCTTCTCGACCCTTACATCTCCTTTTTCAGTTAATAATACTTATCATTCTCTTTGTTGTCCCAACCAAAAATAAATGTCATATTAGACTCTTTTCTGTTCTTGGCCACCCATATCCAGTCACTTCTCAAGCCTGATTAATTTGAATTACTAAATATTTGTAAAAGTTTATTCATTTTTCTCATGAAAGAGAGAGAAATGGAAACATGGACAGAAAGAGAGACAAATAGTCCTGAACAGGGTCCTCATGCTGTGATCCACTCCCAACCTCAGCCACCCCTAGGTCGTGAGCACACTCACACTGGGCATATTCAGGGAGGTCTCTAGAAAGAAACCTAGGACCTCTCCATGTGGGTCAGCCTCACCGAGAGGCATGTACCCCATTCAGCCTTAAATTGCAAAATATTCTTTTTTTATTTTTAAGAGAGATTTTTGGAGACCAACAGTTAGCGTAATGGCTATGTCGCTGGACTACATAGTTGACCGAGGTTCGAGTCCCAGACTCGGTGGCTTAAACTCACACCAGGCATGTGTATGTGCGTGCCCAAGATCCTGAGAAGAGAATGGAGGAGAAGGGATTGTGGTGTGGCCATCACCCCTGGGGGCTTTCCGTCTTCCTGTCTCTCTCTGTCTTCCTGGTGAGCACACGCACCCTATAGCAAAAACCTCTCAAAAAAAAAAAAAAGAGTAAGAGATTTTTGCTATAGGATGTATATGCTCTCCCGAGAGACAAAGACAAAAAGTGAGAAATCACCCCCAGGGGTGATGGCCACATGACAGTTCCTTCTCCTCCATTCTCCTCTTGGGATTTTTGACATGCAACTACATATGCCCAGTACGAGTTTTATGCTGCTAGGTCTGGGACTTGAACCATGTGGACTACATGGGAGTCCAACCATGTAAGCATTATGCCATGTACTGATCACACTAAATATTCTTAACTCCCTACCTACCTCATAGTTGGTACAATTCTTCTCTGACTAGGTTCTCATCATCTTACATGTGATGATCACGGTAACTTCCCATTTATTTTCCTGCTGGGCATATATGTCTCTAAGTCCAGTTTTATCTTGCCACTGGATAATATATCTAAAATACAGACCAGTTTGTTTTTTTCCTAAGGTTTTTGCCATTAGGCATGTGTGCTCACCAGAGAGCAGCAGTGAGAAGGAAAGTGAGAAATCATCTCCCAGGGGGATGGCCATACTGCAATCCTTTCTTTAGGGATTTTGGGTGTTCAAGCACATGTGCCTAGTGTGACCCTCAAGCCACTTGGTCCAAGACTTGAACTGTGGTTGACTATATGGGAGTCCAGCACCTTAATCGCCATGACACCTGCTGTCCCATGCAGAGAATAGTTTTGAACAAG